ATACAAGTTAAAAAGATTATTTTATTAATATAAATTAGATTATCATTTAATTTTTTATTAATTATGCATTTATAGAGATAATTTCTTGCATGAGCTATATATTTAGGCTAAATAACAATATGTATTTACAGAAAAGTTAATAGTATTCATTTATAGAAATACATTTAGAAGGCTATTTATGACTGCAGTTGCAGAATTTTGATTCAAAAAAAAAAAAGAACTTTAAATCTCATTATTACAGATATTATTACAAAATCAAATTTATTTATTTTTTTGCTTTAAGGTTCTTTAAAAATTTTTAGATTGGTTATTTGGCTTTTTATTACTGTAAAGATGTGAATAATGCTCATAGGCATTAGTATGAAAATTAAAGCCTTTAAAAATAATTACATGGTCTCGAATTAATGCCCATAAATAACCCGAATTAATACATATCCAATGTAGCATATAATTTTCATGCAATATATAATATATTTTATTTGAAAAAATCGATCCTAATTTTGAAATAATGCAAATAGGTTACTCGAAAATAATATGCAGTGGGTGTTATTTCATGCTTATAGGATAGGAGTTTGTTTTTAACAATGTTATTATTAGATTTAACAATTATCTAAATTTTAATATAAAATATACATATTTAGATATATCAAAATTGGCCTTTGAAATTGTTGCAGAGTATAACTATTAGAGTATACATGTTGAAGAAATAGAGTATGTATGTATAATAAATAAGTCATTATTTAAAATAAGCTTTTAACAATAAACTGGAATAATCAATCCAAGATTTTTTTTCTAATTCAATCAATTTACTATATTTAACATTCATACATCCTTAAATAGTTATTATGTTTTTGCATAATAATGTTCATAGGCACTATTTTTGAAAATTGTACTGCCTAAAAACAATATGAATGACTTAAAACAACACCCATAAGCAAAATAATACATATGCCTAAGTTAACATCAATTACATAAATGTGTCCAATGTCAAACAATTAGTCTTTATTTCAAAATAATATATATGTTAGTATTTGAGATAACATGCAGGTGAGCATATTATATAAAAGTGTAGCAAGTAATTTTAGTACAGTAAATGCATTTAAATGAAAATTTTATATAGAGCTTTCAGATTTTTTCAATTTCAGTGATGTCTTATTGTTTAAATAATAAGAAATTCCTGAAATCATATTACTCTATTTTTATGTTTGGAAATGCGATATGATTGGCTAATTTATATATCAGTTAATAATCATCTTAACAACTATCTGACTTTAATGTATCTCTTATTTAGATAGATGAGCATATAAATAAAACTAATCAAATTATTATTAATAATAGGAACTACACCCAGCAATGTTATCTAAACTATTTAGGTCCAAAAAGTTTGCAGTAATGAAAATTATTTATAAATTAGTGTTTCATGTTTATTATTATTGCAGAATTAAAATTTATTTTTTTTATTTATTTTACTAACATAGTTTCAACTAATTCTCATTGCTTTGGTAGTTCTGACAAATTGAATAGCATTACTATTTATACCTAATTTATTCATAGTATTTAGCATTCTAAGGTTCTTAATGGCTAGGAATATTAGACGTAGCATATAAGTTAAACATACATCTATGAAGTTTTCTTGACATGATTACATGAATGGTGTTAATTTGTAGGTATATACAACTAACAAGTTCATTTTTAACTGTAGATCATTATTTTTATCATTCTTTGAATTAGTGTAAAAGATGATTTCTTACAAATTTCATAGTTACCAACTACTCTTTCTGATTTAATGAATAGGACATAATCATATAATTGTTAAAATGCAGAATAAAATAAAGTTACAATAATAATTATTATAACTGTTGCTAAAATTAGCTAATGCTAAAATTTGGACTTATTTTGATCTGAATTTTTAAAAATATTTTTAACTGCTTTTTTTTTATAATTAAGGTTTAGGGTTAGAATTGATAATTAAAGAATTTTAGCAGGGCTTATATTTTTAAATCACAACCCAAATTTTAGCATCAGCTGTAACAATAATTGGTAGATATTTAACAATTGCATCTATCAAAGCACCAATAAAGACATGCTGGTAATTAATACTTATAATTATTTAATATACTTTAAATGATATTTAATTATTCAATTATCGATTTATTTTAATTACCAAAACTCGATTGTTACTTTAAAATTTTATTACTAGTTAAACTTGTGAAATTGAACTTTCACATGCAATATACTTTTAATTGTAAAAAAAGTAGTTTGGGTAAATGAGTTGGTGTTTACTATTAGAGCTTTGGGATTAGAGTGTTCAGGATACTGCTATATATAATTCTGCTCATGCTAAAAATAATTTTTAATATTGTTTTCATAAAAGACATAATTTAAATCACTTTTTAAAATCAACAATGTAAAAAAGTATTTTTAGCATATGCACTGCAATACTCTAGATACTCTATTTGGGATTATTAGGCACAAATTTTATTATTTATTGCAGATAATGAACTGGTATTGTTATAAATGCCTTTATCAATATTAAATATTAAGCTTATAATAAACTCAAAACTATTTTGTTAGTATCAATACACTATACATACATCTGGTCATAATGCATAATAATAAGTACTCTAAAATTTATATAATCTTTAAATTCACATTTTATACCCAATTCACTATTATATTATAAAGCGATAGTATATTATTATAAATATTAAAATTAGCTAGACCTACAACTATAAAAATATATTTATAGATTCATAGAACATAGTGTTAAAATTTTTTATATGTGAATGTTATTTATTTTTTGTATATTTTGTACAGCCCATTGATAGAATGATTATTATGAAGCAATTTATTTAATCAATTGTTATTATTACAATTTAATTTTAAATTCAAAGAATGGTTAAAACATTGTATATATTTTAATAATACACAATTTTTAAATAAATATCTACTGCTAGTAACCAAGTTTTTAAATTTTTTTTATATATAAAATTGTTATCATGTCTACTATAACCGAATTTTCTGAAAAAACTCAAAGCCTTTCTGAAAGCAATAGCACTGTAAAACCTAACAACAATGCACTTGTTAATATTAAGAATTAAAACATTAACAAATCAAAAAATAAATCTAAAAAAAATATTGCTCCTATTTATGAATATCTAGATGTACTCCAAGATGGAACTTGTGTCTACAAAATTTGTAATAATAATGAAAACTATATATGTAGATGGAACCCTAATGTGTTATTAATACCAATAATGTGTCACTTTAAAAAAAATACTAAAATATCTTTAAAGGATTTCAGAAATCAAATAAAAAACTTACTAGCTATTTTTTATATTCAATTTTTGATAGAAAACATGTAGAATTATTAGATCATAGTTTATTAGAACTGATTATAATTAACTAACAATCTTTTTCACTTGTAGAAGAGAATTGCTTCATTAAATTTATTACTGCCCTTGATCTACATTATAAAATCTCTTGCTGTCAAACTATTTTTAAAAATATTAAAAAACAATTTGAATTAGAAAAAATAAAAATAAAAAATATTTTAAAAAGTAATTCAAGTAAACTATCTCTTACTTTAGATGTATGGACTGCATGTACCCAACAGCTCTTTCTCAGAGTCACTATTCATTAAATAGACATTAAATGGAAGATGCATGCTATTCTCTTTGATCTTATTCCTCTATATGAGTCTTATACTGATGATTAACTTAAAGAAAAAGTTTTTGAGTTTGTAAAGGAACTTGAAATTAAAGAAAAAATAATTGGATTTACAGAGGATAATGCATTAAATAACCAAACTTGTTTGAATTATCTTCAGAAATATATAAATCCTGAACTTATATATGTGCATTGCACAACATATGTATTTAACCTTATTGTAAAAGAAGGTCAAAAATTTTATGCAAATCAAATAAAAAAACATGACACTTTTGTAACAAAATTAAAAACTCACTATTATTTATAGAAGATATGAAAAAAATATCTACCATTCTAATTTGATCTCATCTTTATTCAGAACTTAATGTTGATATGAGATGGAATTCTACCTATTTCATGCTTGAATGAATCATTGAAATTAAAGATATAACTGATGATCTTGTGCAGTTACATCCTAATTTAAAGAATGAATATCTTGAGTTAGATGATTAGAAAATAATTAATGATATATTAAAACTTCTTCAACCCTTATATAAGATGATGTTGATACTTTCAAATACTTCATTACCTTCTTATGGATCTTTAAGACTAATTGTTCAAGATCTTTTTACATATCTGAATAATTATATTCAGAATACTAATGCATATCAAGAAGTAACACAAAGAATGAAAACAAAGTTAGAAATTTATTGACCCTACCTTTCTTAATCTTCATTTATTTCCACACTCCTCGATCCATCAATGAAATTCAAAACCTTTAATGAAGAGAATCATAAGTTGACTGTAAATCAGCTGGCAACACTATATTCAATATATTGTACTGATAAAATGGTTATGTCACCTAAAGAGAGTTTATTAGATAGTTTTCAGAAATTAATTAAATTAAATGAAATTGCAAATGAAATGTCTTTGGTGACTCAAAATTTATCAAATGAACTAGCCACTTATCTTGCATTACCCTCAGAACCAGATATTAACCCACTAACATGATGGAAAGTTAATTCCTCTCGCTTTCCAGTCATTGCTTCTATAGCAGTGGATTACTATGCACTTCAAGTGACAAGTGTTCCATGTGAGCGTGCCTTTTCCATAGCAAAGCATACAATTAATCTTGTACAAAACCGTCTTCATGAGCAAACAACAAGAGCTTCATTATGTCTAAAAAATTGGATGGAGGCTGATATTTTAGAATAGAATAAATAAATCATAGAATAAACAATAGTAATAAAACTTATTTTTTTATTTTTTTTTTATTTCTTTGAAGCTTTCTCATGACCTTGTCTTTGAATACTATTGGTAACATCATGTGATGTGACCAAATGTCACATGAATTAACAAGTCGGTTCCGAGTCTGACTCCAAACCGAATACAAAATAAAACTCTACTTTTGGAGTAGAGTCGAACCAGAACGGACTTTTAACATCCCTATGTATAACAGACTACAATATATGACGCATAAACTATACGTATTTGACTACTATTTATGACGCACAAATTAGCAATATACTTTCTTGTGTTACATTACAGATTTGACCGATATATTATCGTTCCCAACTAACACATCACTTGCACGGTCCCATGGGACCTCGAAATCACGTGCCGATTTAGAACCCGATCGATCAAGACTTATGTCTTCGAAGCACAACACATATACATGCATAGACACTATTTGGTGGTACCGCTCAAAAAAGAATTGAGCGCATGATAAGCATGTAGCATAAACAAGTACGGATCTATAATCGCATATTACTGTATTAAGCAACAAATAAGTTTTTGTTACTTATGAGCACTTTGGAAAACCGCTTTGATTAATCTAATAAAGCCAGAAGATGGGCAGCTTATAGAACGCAAGTTATTTCTACTGCTCAACTGAATTTTGATTGGCCCAAAATATATATGTTTATTTTTGGGGAGGGACAGAAATCCGAGGGGAGGAGGGGTTACGTTAAACAACCAATTAAATTTAAACGGCCTTATGCTCAATATATTAACTAAATGTAATAAAAGGCCGATATGTCATTTAGCGCATATGTGGCCGAAGTGGCAGAAGTGACATAAGTACCATAAGTAACATTTCCGTTACTTTTCGCGTGACCTTGGATCGGGTAAGGATCGTCACCTCGATTCGGGCACCCGTGACCCAAAAAATCGGGCTCACACGACCTTTGTAGATCGTGATGTCATGTAAATCACGAGAAAAAATAAATTCTAATTGACAGTTTGGAATCACTGAAATTTCCCACCGTTATCACGAAAATTGCGGAGTCACATTTTTTTAGAAAGTGCAATATAAAAAAAAAAGCAATTTTTGGAAACTCTCAATAGTAAAATTTATAAGTTATTTCAAACACACTGATAATGATTTTATTGGGGTGATTATTTTTTCGGTTAACGTTACTTTTCGAACTCTTGTGAGAGGAAACGAATATATAAAAGCGGTCCAATTTCATTGGTCGATGTAAATCAAGTGATTAATGAGAGTTATCCAGCGACTTCATTTTTTTGGGAGGAGACTTCAGCTGAGGGGCGTGCCGTTAACCAAAGAAATAACTTCAAACGGTCTTAAGCTAGAAAGATTTATATATCTACAGTATTTTGAAGTCTTTAATCGTTAATATATATATATCAATTAATTCGATTAAAGGTGTTACAATGCGTATGTGATGATCGAAGAGCATAAGTGAACGTTACGCAATGCACATCTCCAATAAATTTGATACGTAAGTTTTATACATGTTTCATCTTCTTTTCATTTCAACATTGCGTCAAAATGTCAATTGCAAAACGACCAGAAGAAATTGACAATCTATTAGATATAACTAAAATATCCAATAAAGTTAACCAATTGTATTTAGAAGATAAATCACAAGATTTTCTTAATGAAATTATTAAAGAAATGTATGATCTATATAATGAAGAAAGATTGAAAAGCAAGAGTTTCAGTTCAATTTTTGATACCTTAGAACAATTTCTAATAAAAAAAAATCTAAATCCCGATAATATTATCAAATATTGCTTAGATAATCAATTTGATCCTTTGGTTCAAATTATTCTTGCAATTTGTTATTATTATGGTAAATGGGTTGAAAAAGATGAAACTAAAGCATTCATTTACTCTCAAAAATCTGCAGAGATGGGCAACGCTTATGCAATGTTTGCACTTGGTAACTGTTATAAAGAAGGAATTAGTGTTGAAAAGAATGAATATAAGGCATTTATTTATTTTCAAAAATCTGCAGAGATGGGTGATGCTAGTGGAACAAATAATGTTGGATATTGTTATCAAAATGGAATTGGGGTTGAAAAGGATGAACGTAAGGCATTCATTTATTATCAAAAATCTGCAGAGATGGGAGATGCTGATGGAACATACAATGTTGGTTTTTGTTATGAAGATGGAATTGGAGTTGAACATAATGAACGAAAGGCCTTTGAATATTATTTAAAAAGTTCCGAATATGGGAATTGCTGTGGAATGCATCATGTTGGATTATGTTATCAAAAGGGGATTGGTGTAAAAAAGAATAAAGATTTGGCTTTTGAGTGGTATTTAAAATCTGCTGTTACTGAACATGAATGTGATTTTCATTACAACTATTTCCGTTGGATAAAATACGATAGTTTTAAAAACATTAAAGAAGTAGGTAGAGGGGGGTTTTCATTAGTGTATAAAACATCTTACGAAACGTATGAAGAAGTTGCAATCAAGATAATAAAAGATTCACATAAAAATAAAAAACTCTTTTTAAACGAGGTATTTTTTTTTACGCATAAATTTATATTATATATTTATGAATTAATTGTAATTTATTTTTTTTTTATTTTATTTAGTTAAAAGCGTATCATGAATTTGGTAAATATTATGGCATATCAATGGACGAAAATACCGGAGATTTTATTTTAGTGTTAAGTTACGCAAAATTCGGATCATTACGTGAAAATCTTAAAGATATATTTAAATTGGAGTGGAAAATTAAACTAAAAATATTATGCGATATCGCTTATAATTTATCAAGTATTCATTCTAAAAAATTTATACATCGAGATTTACATTCGGGGAATATTTTGATAAAAGAACGCTATAAAGCTTATATTACTGATTTAGGTTTATCAATATCATTTGATGAAAAACAAGATGGTCAAATTTACGGAGTTTTACCATATATAGCACCAGAAGTTTTGAAAGGAGGATATTTCACTCAAGCTGCCGATATTTACAGTTTTGGGATTATCATGATAGAAATATCAACTGGACGAAGGCCTTTTGATGGTTACAATTTTGATGCTGAATTAGCAGCAAAGATATGTTATGGATTACGACCTGAATTTAATATAGGGTCACCACAATATTATGTCAAATTAGCCAAACAATGTATTAATTCTGATATGAAAAAAAGGCCTACTGCTGTAGAGATTCTTAAGAAACTTGAAAAATGGTATGAACTTGTAATCACCATTGATAATAATGATGATTATGGTGATAACGATAACGATTATGTTAATGATAGTGACGATTATGATAGTGATGATTATAGTGAATATGATAGTGAGTATGATAATTACTATAGTGAATATGATAATTTTGATGATGAAAAAATCCAAAATCAATTCTTAGAAGCTGATAAATTAGTCAAAGAATTGCCAATTATCTCACAAAAACATGAAAAAAATTTATATACTTCTAAACTTATTGATACGAAAGAAATTGTTTCAGAATACAAAAATTTTAAAAGCAAAGAGATCTATATTGGTTGATAGTTTATTTTCTCATTTTTTATAAGAAAACATGTATATTAAAAGTAACTTTAAAAATATACCAATAAAATATTTTTTAAATATAAAATGAATTAATATTATCTGCACAAAAAAAAATCCTATTATGACCATGAGCTCTATATATTTGAATTTTTTTTACCGTATTAATTTTAAAATATTTGATTAAAACGAAAGATCAAGTCGTCAAAATCTTCTAATTGGTGTTTTAGAATGAGTTCTGTGGGACCACATGCAGGACAATTACAATTTCGGTTTGACATACGACGATGTCCTTTTTGCTCACACATCCGGAATTTAATGGCTTTCAATTATACTGTAGTTGATGTTACGTTCTCTATCGTATGGCCTCATTCATGACTTCAGTACCAAGGGTGGGTTCGGTCGGTCACGTTGATTATTGTCAAATAGTAACTGGTCTATAACCGGTCAATGACTGGCTAGATAACTCTACATAAAAGGTATTGTGCATTGAAAATAATTTGTGTATTAAGGCCTAGCACTATGACCTAAAAAATTTAGCTATTAAGATTATGTTCTCGCTATTAATATAAAGTTTGAAACCATGGTAATTCCAAATTTTCATATAAAAACTGTCAGGAAAAATTTTGGGTTACGAATAGGGATAGGATCGATCAATTATCCAGCAGCTTACTATGATTTACCCGCCAAATAATAAACTGATTGGAAAGAAACAAAAGTTTAAAATAGTTTAACCTTCTAAATTTTGAACCATTTTTTCTTGAGCTACATATTAATTAAAGTTGTTTATAATTAAATTCTATTCATACTATCCTATAAGCAAAAAGAAAGATATTTTCGCCAAAATTTAGAAAACCAAAATTTGTATCTGTAACCGACGGCAACTGATAACTAATTTTGAAATTTGATTTCAAAGAAGGTACGTACTGTTACACTCGAAACTACCTTATAAGTTCGATATAACGATTTTAGTTTAACGACGGATAGGTTAAGTAATTAAATAACAATGCCAATTTATGCAAAATAAAATATAGGAATTATTGTAGTTACGAAAGAGTTAAGCGACTATATATATTGACGTTGTATATGACGATACAAGTAGTCGTATAACAAGTTTACAATTATACTTCATGTTATTCGTGTATGAAGATGCTATAACTATTTGCTAATTATTCTCGGTATCCGTGTGTGAGTTGTTCATGTATGAAGACATGATTACTTCTTTATTATTGAGTTGTTGAGTTTAGAACTGTCTTTTTTACAAGAGCGCTTTTTAAAGCTATTTATACATTTTAAGATATTATGATCTTTTACTATTACATATATTAATTTTACTTAGTTATATTTTAGCTAACATTTCTATTTTTCTATTAATGTTTATATATCTAAGTATTATTATAATTTGAATTATTATTTCTACTAGAATTAATTTGAACTATTAGAACTAGCAGAATTAGTAGAATTCTTGGCATTTGAATTATAGAGGTTCGCATTCCTTTCTACTTAAGTTTGAAGTTCTGTAAAAATAAGCTTTTAATGAATACTTAAATAAGCATCGTAGTTTATAAAGTTTATTACGTAATTGATATATTTTTATTAGTAAATTAGGTAACTGCGCGACACAGTCGTGCTTAAATCAGGGAATGTAGCATATATTTTATAAAGATTTTTTAATTAACAGGTAATATATAAATATATTTACTACACCAGGTTTCATTTTATTTATTTATTTTTATTTTATTTTCTTTTATTCTTTTTTTGTAGATATAATTATTGATTTTTCGTGGTTTGCGTATTGTTGCAAATTTTTCAGTAGATACATAAAGTTAAAGTACTACTTATTAATTAAAGTAGAAATTATAATGCTAATAGTAATTAGGATATGAAAACTGGGTTTTATCAGTCTAACAATGATAATAAATTGATCTTGTGTACATATCATTCATTGATTTTTATTTTATATTAAAGTTTGAGTTTGATAATGCATTATTGAAGTTATTATATTGTATTATATAATGTGTATTTATAGACATTAGATTGGATAATTAATTTCTAAGCTTTAGGAGTCAACTAATAGAAAGATCGATCTGTATATTTTGTAGTGTTTTCTGACTTCTAATTTTTTTTATTTTTTTTATTTTTTAATTTGTATATTTACTTAATAAGATATGGTATGTGATATCTTGCTTAGCCTAGGCTTATGGTCTCAGATTCTTAATCGTGGATTTTGCAGTAATGATTTTATTAAAACCAATTTAATCTTATATTTATCAGTTATCACAATTTAGCTTCGTATAAAATACTTTCGTCTTAAATAATGATTAATCAATCATATTTTAAAACAATAGATTTGCACACTTGCAATTCTAGTTGTTTTATGACCATACACTTCGTAATTTCATTACTACGTTCCTGGTATTTTGTAATTC